TCTCTCACTTCTCCATCTACCAGATTGGGGATAATTAACAAAGTTTTCTATAATGAAACCCATTTGGATGTTTTAAAGGTTGCTGCATATATGTCAACTTCCACTTTCTCCCCCATGTCTTTATAGGATCTTTGCCCTTGAACACTTTGCCTGATAAACATACATCTTACTATGTGTCTATTACTTTCAAGCGCTTGGAGATATTGCCCCGCATGAAGCTTGCTAAATAAATGCAAGTTGTTGTTGTTATTTGCCCCATGCCCATTTTTCCTTTCATTAAACACACAGTATTTGTGTGTTTCTTTACTTTTTCCACATTTATTTCTGAGTTTGAAAAAGGAATGACTTGGGATCATATTTTTAAAGAAAAGTGAAACCTTATTTTTATTGAAATTTAGGATTTTAAGCTTCTCTTAGTAGTTCCCTTTCACCCATCTATAACATGTTGTTCGAAGAATCGAACCTGCTTTATCTACATGAAAGATTCAAACTGATTCTATTTTAACTCACGGTAATTAAAGTCACCCATAATAGTAACCTCCCTTTTCCCTTGTGCACTTCTTATTTGCTGGAATAATTCCATATCAATTTCTTCCTTTTTGCCCCGATGGTCTGTAGCAATTGCCAATTATTAACTTCCTTTCCTGCTGTCACAGGTAATAAGAATCAAAAGGTTCCTTTGCTAGTTTATTCATTTGTAGGCATATATTTGAGATATTTTTGTTCACAATCATTCATTCCTGATGAAAAGATGTAACGAATTGTGACATTCAATAGTTAGTTACTACCATGATTTTCCAATTGATATCCAAGAGTGATATTCCTCCTGTGGTAACCTGATCCTCTGCATGTTGTTTACTGGAATATGTGCTGTCCCCAAGTGTTCCCTCTCTCTGTTCTTTAGTGGTAGTGATGGGGAACTTTCACTGAGACGTGTGCAATTAAGTCAGCACATTACTCAATTTCCTCTTCATGAGTTGATAAGATATACACAATATACAATGTGCACTGTGCTAGACAGTGCACATTGGAACCTGGTCTTATACCCATCACAGTAGGTAACTTATGTAAAGTATTTCAGACCTACAAAATCATGCCTAGCCTTGTTAAAATATGCTTTGATGGTGAACAAGTAAGAGGACATACACAAACAAAGGAGGGCAAAGAGTGAAATAATCTTAGGCTTTCCAACCTGAATGCATTTAATGTGAAGGACTGTTTTGGGTACCGCATTACTTTTCCTTTATAAGGAGGCCAAGCTGTAAAATTACTAACACCCAGAAATTCGCACCAACAGTCCCTTTTTATATATTCATCTAAATAGTAATATATTGAAAGGAAACTACTGCAGTTATGTACGAGGCTTTTAAATTATCATATTGACCATCAAGTACAATATAGAAAAGAATGACAGCTGAATTATTTTTTCAGCGTTGAAGTTGACCACAAAAAGAATTGCCAAGTGTGTCAAGGATACAATTTCAAGTAGTTTAATTACAGAATGGAAAATTGGTAATCATTCGAGACAAGAAAATATATTTTTTCTCAATTACCCAGTTTAACGATGTATGATGATGGATCATAAATTTTTCCTTCTAAAGTGTTTGAAATATTGGAATACACAACAGTTTCCATTGAAATGAATTCAGCAGTGATGCAAAATAATCTGTAGAAGCTTGGTATTCAGTTTACCAAGGTGTCCTAGGGCCAATAATTATCTAAGGTGCATCAATTGTACTGTAATATTGAGCTTTTCAGTAGTGCTGCATTTGAAACTGCTTGAGAACACCAACACCATGTGATTGCCTTTGTTTTTCCAAGAACCAAATTTGCTCACTTTGGTTCTTCCAGAGGCATTTACAAATGTGCTGACAGATTGTCTGTCGGACATCAAGTCCTGGATGAGGGCAAATTTCCTACAGTTGAATGTGAACAAGTCTGAGGCCCTCCTGATTGGCTCGCGCCAGCGCCTCAACACCTCAAGCTCTGGCAACATCCTCCTCCATGGTTTCACACTACAACTCACCAAGCCAGTCAGGAACCTAGGTGTCTTGTTCGACCCTCAACAGTCTTCTCCCCTACATTCAAGCCATGACCCGCTCCGCCTTCCCTCACCTCCGTAACATTGCCACTACCTCACCCCTCAGGCCACTGAAACTCTTGTTCATGCTTTCATCACCTCCAGGCTCAACTATGCAAACTCCCTGCTTGTTGGCCTTCCCAACTTCTCCCTCCACAGGCTGCAGATAATCCAGAACTCTGCAGCCCGTGTCCTCTCCTCCACCAAACTCCATGACCCCATCTCCCCCACTCTCGCCCGACTTTACTGGCTCCCTATCCTTCAGAGGATCCAGTTCAAGATCCTGGTCCTCACATACAAAGCCCTGCATGGCCTCGCCCCACCCTACCTCTGCGACCTCCTAACCCCCTACCGTTCCCTCCATTCAGCCGGCTCTGGCCTGCTCCACGTCCCCCGACTCACCCATCCCACCAATGGCGGGAGAGCCTTCAGCCACTCTGCCCCCAACCTCTGGAAATCCATCCCCCAGTCACTCAGTCTCACCCCCTCCTTAGCCTCCTTCAAGTCCCACCTCAAGACCCTCCTCTTCGACCATGCCATCGGCCACTCCCTTCCCCTTTCCTCTCCCCTCCTGACCCCAGCTCGGGTCTGAAATACTGCACTCTGTCCAGCGCCTTGGGACATCCTCCCAATGTGAAAGGCACTATACAGATGTAATCTTGTTGTTTTGGTTTACTGCCCTGTGAGCCCTTTCAGCTAAGAGTTCTGTGATGGGGACTGCTCACAAACTTAATGGAACTCTTCCCTCATTTTTGAAACCCTCCTGCCTAGGTCAGTTCCATGATGAATAACCAGTTTGGCGTTATAGTGGATAATGTTTGATGTCCATGGAACTAACTTCCTGCATGGATTGTTATCATAAACCTTTTGAGATTTTCTATTGCAAAGGCATAGGAAAAAGCTAATAATTTTGGCTATTAATGTATGGTAGCCTCCAATATCTTCAGGAAGATAGATTGCAGAAAAGAATATTGAGAGCAAAAGACCCTGGGTTGGGAGAATTGTGAAACTCTTTAGCTGAATAATTAGCTGAGTAGTGCACAGTAAAGTTGAACTTAAAAAGAAAGGAGAAAATAGTTAAATTTGAATCATAACAGAATTTTTTATTTCTTTAGTATGGAATTCAAAGTTCTAATTCTTGTTCTGTCAACTACCTCAGTCATATTACACGTCGAGTCACTTTTATTCAAAACTAAAGCGATATAGACCGTTGACTTCAGTAAGATAGGAATGTGTTGCAAAAAACATCACACTTCAATAAAAATAACAGGTTTGGAATGATGAAAAGAAATCAAACGCATTTCTCTCTAATGTTTTGATTTCCTGTATAAACTCAGCGACCACTTCAGTTAAGCATATTAATAGCCATCATCTCTTATCTACAGTTTTAGATGGAGAAACTGTCTGTTTCTTTACCTCATTATTACTCTTAGCTCCATTACTAAGCCTTTAACAGTTTGGACATTTCTTTCTATTAAACTTATTTATGGAGCCATTAAGCTTACCCTTGTCTTTCCCAAAAAATATTAATGGAATGGTATGAGGCTTATAATGTGGATGTAAGGACAGTTCATGTTCTCGTGTTAGCTGAACGTTTTTAATCTCGGTGTGTATGGTAAATTGTACCGTATTTGCTGAAAGTTCTAGTTTCTAAAGACCACATTCTGAAACATTTAATTAGAAGAATAAAAGTTACTTCTAAATACTTGAATATTTATTTTGTATAAATAAATAATGATCTTGTCACCATCTATTTTGTATATGAACTTCCTTGATGTTATTCTTACTGCCAAATAGAATTAATCATTCAGGTAGCCTTTATGAAATGCACTAAATGAACCACAAGTGTGAAACTGTTTAGCTTGTCATATAAATTGGTGTTAAAACAATGAAGAATGTTTTAGTCATAAAGGAAGACATTCAGTCACAAATTTAACCTGACCATAATATCTGAATGGGACACATTTTAACATATTAAAGGAGCTACTAGCCTTGGGCTGGAATAGTTTGCATTCCTACCAATCATTAATACTGCAATCTGTCAAATTGATTTTTAGTTTAAAACAAATTAAGCATCAACTTGAGCTTCTTGGGCTCTTTGAGAGCTGCCATTTTCAAGGCTGAAGGAAGTATGTTGGCTCATGTTCGCCTGCTGTCTGATCATATTTTGAGGGCTCACATTTTATAAAAGTAGACAAGAGGGATCACTATATCTGATCCAGAGCCAACAGATAGATGAGGTCACGATCTGGATTAGATTTGCTTTTTTGATCCTAATTTTTATTGTCTTACAATTCCAAAATAGAAAATGGGATGAGGCTCAAATTTGCATGCAAATTGTTTTCTTATACAGGCAAACTTTTTAGCAATAGAAGTTCTCTCTTTGGCTGAATTTTACTAAACGTCATAGAATTATACAGCACAGACGGAAGCCATTCGGCCCATTGTGTCTGTGCCAGCTATTGAAAGAGATATCCTAATTAATCCCACTCCCCTGCTCTCTCCCCATAGCCTTGCAAATTTGTCCTCCCCAAATAGTACCTCCTTGTACTCAATGTACCACACACCATCTTTATTCCTTGTGGATATGGGAAGCTCAGTTATCTGTAATGCATTAATTGGTGTTTTCTAAACTGTGGTCCAAGTGAAAAAATGACCTTTATTCGTTAAAGGTCTCAGGCACTGCCTCTGAAAAGAGTTTCTCCCTGTGTTCTGGCCAACAACCCCAGATGAAATTGGTCATTCACTTCATGGTTAATTTGGGGACTTTGATGTGTGCACGTTTGCCTACAAATACACAGTACCTACTTTACAGTAAAGCTGTGAAGCATTTTGAAACTTTTTTATGATGTGAAAAGGCACTATATCAAATGCAAGGATTGTTATTATTAAATCTTAGAATGTTTTTTTTTATATTTAGCTATAGGAGCCCAACGCAGGAGGAGCCCAAGTTCCACGGCGATTGAAGTGTTTGAAACGCATTTGGGCAGCAATATTCTACAGGTAAGTGACAGAACCTACTGGGATTATTTATATCCTTGACAAAGTTTGCTAAATTGGTTGGAAATTTTTTTATTGAAAACTTGTTTGGAGAGGTGTCCAAAAGTGTGCTGGTAAAGGCAATTTAAAGGATTACACGTAAAATATTGGCGTACTTTAAATATGAGCTGTTTTGGTTTGTTATTACAACAACTGGACATTGCTATTTGATTAAAGCACAGCAAAAGAATACTCATTAGAATGTAATGCCTTTTGAACTTGAACTTGTATAACATTTTGTTGCAAATAATTATTACATTTAATATGTGTGCTGACACTATACATTTAAAATGAGCACTTAAGGAATGCATTTTTGTTAATCATACAAAAACTTTGATTAATGTTATGTATAAATTCCCCAGGGAAGCAACATTGAATGGATTAATTATTATTTCATATTATCTCCTCTTTTGCTCATCACAAAATAATAAATGCTGTATAAAAGTTACCCATTGGCATTCATATGATTTGTCAAATAATCTTTATAACTTAGTAAAACAAAGCTGTACAAATATGCCCCTTATTGCCTAAATTGTGCTTTAACCCAGAATTCTGCCCCTAACTATCTCTAGGTTGAACAAGTATTTTAATGGAAGAGAAAAAAATCTTAGCATCGCATTCCCTAGTGTTCATATTCATGTTAATGAACTAAGTGTTTTTGAACTATTTGGGGCATATTTATTTTTAGCTTGTATAAACACAGTCTCTTACAGTTATTGAACTATATCTGATCACTCTCATTATTGGTACGATAATAGAAGATTAGCAGTTGACCACTTTTAGATATATTATCACGTTTCAGTTGGTACCTAGGTGGCAAGTTACTCAAAACAAAACCGATTTTGAAATAATTCAAGTTCACTCATGTTTTTGAGTTGATGTGACAAACTTTTAACACATTTGTTCTAATAAGATTGTTTTTCTCTTGATTGATAAACTTCAATAAATAATTCAGAAAAATGCAATCTGTACCACCTATGTTCTACTCTTTTGTTTTTGAATTCAGTTGAAGTTGTGCAGACAACATCCCAATGATTTGTAAGATTAAATGCATGACCGAATTTGGGGCTTAATCTAGCCCAAGCAAATGAGGTGAATTTCTTCTCTCTCACGCACTGATATTTTTTAAAGGCTGTTACTGAGCTTACTAAGGTTTTTGTACCTGCTACCTGTTAGGGTTTGAGCTGTGCAAGAAATGTTGAGAACTGTAAATAATCTACATGTACATTATAGAGGTATGAGCTATTTTTAACATGATATCCTAAAATGCTAGTTAGGTGTTAATTGCCTTACTGAAATGGTACACCATGTTTACATGTCTACTTTGTTGGAAAGCAGTGATTTTCATTAAAGAGAAAAAAACCTAACAGACTATTTTTGAGATGATGTGACAAACTTTTAACACATTTGTTCTAATAAGATCAGAAAATGTACTTTTTTATCACAGAATTTTTTTTCTAAGTGTTATATTCTGTGAAACGCTTTGAGACGTCTAGAAGACGTGAAGATAGCTATATCAAATACAAGGGTTATTATTATTATAAAGAAAAATCACATTTTATATGGTACACTGCATTCTCCCACTAACACTCACATTTGCCATTCTTGCAATGATTACGTCTTTTATTGAAAGCAGTAAATCATGCTCGGGTGGATAGACAAAGTTATCCAGTACCTTGGCCAAGTAGGTCTGTCAATACCTGCTGTTCAGTTACACGGACTAATCCAATCCTTGCAATTGTGGCATGGATTGTTGGATGGAGATCAGGAGGGTTTGTTTCCCTTTGCCAATGTAAGAAACATTGTGGCCAACTGTCTGCCTTACTATCACCCCAGGAGAGAGTGATTAATTTAACACAAGTCAGACTTGGGATCTTTTTGGTCTTTGTAAGATGCTTCTGCCCCAAATTTCACTTTTACCTCCTGAGCCATTGGGAAAATGTTCTACAATTTAATGCAAGGGTCTTATATAAGGCATTTACAAAATTATTTCTAAGTAGCAAATCCAGATGTTACCAATCGGGGAAGTCTTGGAAAATATGTATTATGATGTGCACTCTGCACAACATCATTGACTCCCGAATTTCAATGCTAATGCAACATAGTGTCAATACCAAACTGGATGTCAATTAAATCCAATCCATGAGTGGTGCTCGGGATAACATTGATAGCAACAATGCATTTGGTGGCTAAGCAATCAGAACAGTTTAAAATTAATTGCGTTTAAAATGTAATTATTGTGCTGTATCATAGATTTAGTCACCTGCCTTTCCTTATTCTTCCCTTCATAGATGCGTTTCATTCATTTGATTTGTATTTCTTCCCACTTTCATCTGTAGTACAAGTTATTTCCTGGAATGTTTCATTGAGCTAACGAAAAGTATTTAAATTTCACTAGATTCTGTGATTGAGGGTTAGTGGATTGTCCAATAAAAGGTATCCTCTGCAGTCATGTACTATACTTAAGATATGACATTCCAATTGTTCTATTAATTACAGGCTTGTGCTAGTAAATGTGTTATACAGCAGGTGGTTGTAGTTGTCAGCAGGTCAAGTTGAGGGGATTCATAATTAACATCAGTATATACTGGAAGTCTGGTGAGGCGTGGCCTTTTCAGGAAGGACTTGTTCCCCGCAAATTGTCCCCATTAATCTTCAGTTAAATAGATTGTGGAAAGTTTGGGAATGACATTTAAAAGAGCCTGCTCTAGTGTGATTAATACAGGTAAAATGAACTAATAATGGACGCAAAGCAGACATTACTTTCCTTTTTAACAGTATTAGTAAATCATGGTTTTAAAATATGCATTTTATTAAATGTGTAAAATCCTTTGTATCAACTGCCATAGACGCATACTGCTAATTGTTACAAAATACTCTTCTTCATTCTATTATTATTACTGCATAAACTACTGATAAATTGTCACTCCAAGGGAAAGGGACTCAGTGACGAGTTATCTGGAGTGGCGAGTTAGGCATATGTATAAATATATAAATAAATGTGGCCAGGATATTGACAGTGTGATGACTTTAATAGCGACAAGTTAAACCAGGATTAAGTTAGAAGGAGTTTGCTGTATATGTAATGTTGAAAATTACATAATATATCGTGATGTTTTGCTTAATTTATTGGCAGTCATTTTTATTACTACGATAAACTTATATCTAGAATCCAAGTTCTGTTTTCTCAGCCTTGCCAATGTTCCAGTGAATGTAACCCCATTGTGCAAAATCATACTCTAATATAGCTCTACTTCTTGAAGCATTTATGATGAAATGAAGGGGTTGCTTAGGGCTGGAAAAAAAATCCCAGTACATCAAGGTTTTTGTTCTGCTGGGGTTTAAAATTGAAAAATTAACTTCAAAGCCATATTCGGGACCATTCTTTTTCGTCTGATCCTGAATACATTTCCTGTAATCACAGTCTGCAACAATCACCTTTGTGGTCTGAAATGGTAGCCATTCCTTGGAAGCGTTCTGTTTGTTTTTGTGGTGAAATTATTAAGCATATAAAAGACTTTGTTGTACCCCAGCATCATTATTGGATGATGGATTTTGCACTCCAGATTCTCCATAAATTACGAGCGATGCCCTTAAAAGTCATCCCCTTGGTACATGCCCAAGATGTAGCAGATGGGTAGTTTATTCTCAAATACAAATCAATGCTGTTTATTGCACAAAATATCAGACACATCCCCACTGGTAAATTTGTTATTGTTAAGCATTCTGCTGCCAAACCAAATTAATTAAAGTAACAGTCACATCAGTTCATGGTAAAGAAAGAGCATGATCTTCAAAAAAAATTCGGGCGGAGGGATTTATGAATATATCGATAATATCAGTTCCACTGATATAATTAAGCAAAATCACCAACAAATTACCTTTGCCACTTTTAACCTATCATTTGTTTGATGGACAAATATTTTGGGGTCTATTTGTGTTGTGATGTGTGGGGGTGGAAGCAATCAGTTTTATTATAACAGTTATGCAAGATATTCTTCATGATTTAATCTTGGCATAAAAATCAATTAGAGTGCCATAAAAATAGGGGCCAAGGTACTTGATCATGTAAACTTTGGTCGCATTATAAGGGAGCCATTTAGGCTATTTAGTTTTCCTCCACTCGGCTATATATGTAAACCCGATTCCCCAAGCATCCCCCAGTTCCTTTTCTCCTTTAGTCATTTTCGGTTGTCTTGTCTGGTACACCTGAAAAAATTAATCTGGTCTATTTGGTCAAGTATATATTTGTTAAATGCTTTGAAACTTTATTTTACATGAATAGTATTATTTAAGGTTATGCACATTATTATTGTCCTTGAGATCATGATGCTGTCTTGATTCATTATAAAAATATGTACTTATGCTATGGAAATGTGCTATTCAAGGCAGACTGGGCTATCATGGAAAAAGTGGTCTGAATACTGAGTCACCTGGTTGCTAAAGTGTCCACAAGATGAGGCTGTGCTGTATCTATTTTTAATTAGAATACAGGAACAATTGAGAGGATGTTTAATAGATAGTGAAAGTGCTTGTTTCATTCAAAGAAAGATTAAACTTCATTAGCAGAATTTCTTTGTTAAGCATTCCAAATTAGTGGAATAGTCTATCCATTATGTCTAACCAGTGTAATTTCTGGCATATTAAGTTCTTGATTGCTATATCTACATAAAATGATTTTTAAGGTATATTTTGTGCTCCTCATATAAATTTGAGGCTCAGATGATCTGACCACAGGAAAACTCTCTTTTGAGTAGATCACGTGAGATATTCATCCTGTGCTTGATTGAGTAAAGGTTGAATTCAACTTCTCCCAGTGCTGCTGTATATCATGTGAATCTGCTTCATTCCTTGACTGGCTGCCTGGGAAACAATACAAAGCACCATAAAAAGCACACAAACAGCTACACAGCAAAAAAAAACAATCATTTCAAGCAAGAGCATTATATGTTTTGCTGTCAATT